CTCCGAAGGATAAACACAACCAAAACATAACGTCAACAACCGCTGTTCTGGATGATTCTATTATGTGGCGAAAGAGTGGGCGTATATAGCAGATAGACGCTCGCCTGTGGATCAAAAGGTAATGAGTTCAAATCCAGATGGTGATGGACTTAAAAATAAAATTTGGCTTCCAGGTTTATTCATGTGAATATACAAAAGAGAAGGTCAAATTTCGGGAAAACAAAAACTATCAAATACTTCTTCTTTTCATTCGTCCGAGTTTGGGGCATATAGGGCTAGACCTATATTTTATAGACAAGTCAGCATTCGGTTGGTGAGGTTGGTAACTTCCCGTTACTTGAGCTGCTACCAATTTAAAGCTGGGTCTATCTGGAAGCAAAAGTCATTTTTGAAACTCACTGAAAGTCCGGCTCTGCCAGGACCTGAACCTTAGACTTTCAGATCGCAGGCGAGCATCTATCTGCTACACCACCATAGCTCCCCAGGAAGTCAATAGGAGAAAGAGGGGGGGGGGGGAATATTTGTGAGTGACGTCATCCGCAGGTTGCTTGCGAACTTCACTTTACGTAAGATTGACAAGACCCATGCTTATGCACATTACCAAGCTATTAGCGCCCTAAATGCATACACTTTCACGGTGAACTGCTACTTCTCTATATTGGACAGTTTCGAAACCTTGGGTAACTCCGCCCACCCTTCCTCCCCCTCCCAGCCACACCCGGGTGTTATTTCAAGGCCTGAGGTTAAAAATAAATCTCATTCTAGATGACAGAACAATACCGCCTCTATCCTACATAAGAAGGCCTTGGACAGACCAACAGGGGCGATTCCATAAGGCCCACTGAAACTCTAAAGTAGTTATTATTAGGGCACTTGCAACAGTTACACAAGCTTTGCAGTCCTGTGCGGGTAAAGAACGAGCGGAGTGGTGGAGATAGAAGGGAGAATAACAGTCCCCTTGTCCCATAACAAGCATCTTGAAAGTGTGAGTAATTATGGGTTTGCAAAAATTGTGTGTACTGGAGTGACTAGACGCTCTTCTGTGGATCCACAGGTCCTGAGTTTGAATCTGGGTGGTGATGGGCTTTACAAGGGAAAAAAACTTAGCTCCCATGTGGACCCAGTCTTAAATGGGTACCAAGTAAAAGTCCTAGAAGTTAAAGCGGCCGGCCTGAATCTGACCACATCACTAACTAACGGCCAATTGGTGTATAAAATATAAATCTAGCTCTATATATCCAATATATCTGAAGCTGTGAAAAAGGGTTGTTTACTTTTTATTATGTGCCCGCTTGTCAACTCCCGTCTCGCCACTGCCCCCCCCCCCTTTTTCCCCCATCCCCCAATTAAAAAAAAAGAGTACAGAACCGTCTTTCAGGCCTTCAGGCGTACTGGGCAAATAGGGCTAGACCTATATTTTATAGACCAGTCATCACTTGGTTGGTGATGTCAACAGCACGCCGTCGCTGTTACTTTCCAGGACTTTATTTGATACCGCTGCTGTAAAAGGAAATAAAAGAGCTGACAGATTGGTCATGTCTGCAGTGGTTGGTGAAGGAAGATTGTTTTTTTAATTATCACAGGCGACGTAAATGCACATTGGGCATTCCCATGACTGCTCAGTCCTCAGATGCAGTAACCACTCCATTGTGTTTCTGCTAATTGTTCCCATAAAAGATTGGTTATAATATCTCCTATCTCGGCCTCGGAGCCGTCATAGACGAGCTTCAGAATGCTTTACTCCCATGTTACGCAATCGCAAAAGTGTCAGAGGTTGGTCATTATCCACTTGCGCAGTCCGTACAGCGTTGACGATATCTGCTTTGTCCACGCTTCTTCCCACATGTGCTGGTGCATTGTTGGTCAGTTCGTCTGCTCGCTCATTACTCTTTGGTTGCGGAAGACGTATAAAAATGGCAGACATGTTAAATTTTCTGCGTTCTGGAGTCTGAGACGATTACCCGCCTGTTGGCAATGGGTATTCGAATGGACGAACTTTATTTTCAAAGGGTCACACATTGGGCACGCAGGTCCGTCTACCATTCGGCCCTTCCAAACACCTGTCTTTAACACAGCATTTGTATTTTATCAATAAGCATGTTATATTCATATGATAATATGCATTTTATGAATATCAAAGAAGAAACACAAAAGCATGGGTGGTAAAATGCATGCACACCCAAGCGCACGCACACACATATATACACACGCCCACCAACTCACTTAAACATGCATGTATACACACACACATACATTTACACACCCATATAAACACACACGTATTCACCCATATACATACCTACTTTCATACACATACACACACATACATACAGATATACACAGACACACCCATAGAAACAAACGCAGACACACACACAAACAAACACACATACGCGCATAGACACAAACACAGATACACACACAGACATACACACGCGGACACACAAACCCGCAGACACACAGGTACACACGCGCGGACACACACTTACACTCACAGACACACGTGCGTATTAAACGAGGACAAGCATGTTGAACCTGGTTGCGAGGCACAGAAGAAAAAAGATAAACTAATCAAAGTTAATCAGTTAGTTAGTCGACAGATTATCCTCATTGCACGTCGAACCATTCAGTCCATAAGTGCTCGGATCCCCTCCTCAGTAAATCCCGCAGCGTATAGCGGCTAACGACACCAGTTCTGTGTTGGTTTCTTATTCTTCTTTGACTACCCGCGCAGTGTTCTTGTTTGGCAAAACCCTGTTTAACATGTTGTTCTTACCGTCTGACCATGGTTGCAGATTCACAGTTCTCAGTTGGTTCACGCAAACGTCTTAACTCTCTTAGAGCATTCAGTATATCAGCCTGGTCCATGGCTTGTCCGGCTTTCACAGTAGCCTTACCTGCAAGCCTATCAGCTTGCTCGTTTCCTTGCACCACCACACAATCAAAGCCAACCGTGTACAGTGAGCACAGAGACACTGAGATAACTGCTGCACCGGAGGGTGCGGCACGAATTGGTTCCGAACGACGTGCACGGATGTCGATTTGACAACACGCAAACGTGCAAGCAAGCAAAGAAAATACTGAGGAATGAGGAGCTCAGACCCCTTTTATATTTTCTAAGGAACGTCAAAGGGATTAAACCTTGGTTAAGTTTAATAATAATAATAATGTATGTTTAATGGCAAATAATATAATATATTTGAAATAAAATTGAATCTATAAACACAGTAGTGGGTGGAAAAAGGGGGGGGGGGCACATTTCCTGGGGGAGGGGGCGAGACAAACCATTAGGTAAAAAGGGAAGGGCAAAAACACTGGGCGTACGGGGGGTGGGGGAGGGGTTGGCGCCCCCATGTTCCAGCTCCCTTGAACCAGACTTGCGTAACGCCAGTTTTACAACAGATTTAGCAAACTGTAGATGATTCGATAACAACAAAGACCACGTTCAACCAGAGGCAAACTATCCGCCTATTTGACTTATATTGTGGTAACGTATCAGGTTAGTGTTTCATCTGGTTTGCAGTTAGTGCTTAATAAGCAAACTGTATTAGATACTTTTGGATAATAATGGCCATTGAAACTGATCAAATTTCGCAACCGGTGCGTCTCGCGTTTTCCAGACTAGGGCTGCCGAAGTTGGTGTTTTCTTACAAATTTAGCACCACTTGAATCTTGCCAACAACAGAGGAGAAGTTACGAAGAGCATACGAAGAAAACAACAGACTTAATAAGGAACTGCAAGCAACCAACAGAGTGATGGAAGAAAGAGAAAAAGCACGGAAAGAGGCAACAAGAAGGCAGCAAATACAGGGAGCCGAGACCCAGAAAAAGCCACATCAAACACCAGATAAGAAAACTCCAACGACGCTGATGAAACAGTTTCCGGTGGCAACTGCTGACCAAATAAACCAACGCAGCATGGAGCTGGAGGACCCGAACTTCTTTAACTCAAAACTGCAAGATGATGATGTTCTTTGGTCATCACCAGAGGAACCATATCGACAGCCAAAACCTGAAGTCAAACGAGGTCGACACCGTTACCCCAAACACTAATACCAGATACGACACAACCAAGGCCAAAATTACCGAAACCCTATGTAGGAGCAGTACTTTACAACAAGGATACGAGAAAATCACCAAATAATACCAGACCTCACCAGTATTGTCATCAGTACCTGCCCAAGTCAATCGACCGCCGGTCCTTATTAGGATAGGCAATTTACTTTCCCCGGAAACAACAAACAGCCAAGGAATACCACAATAAATCGATTCAACATCAAATCATCTTGAGCGCAGCACAGGGCCAGCCAAATTACAAAAGCAACAGCAAGAGCGGAAACCACAACAAATAGAAAGCAACAATATTGAACACAATCCAAAATCAAATGAGATCGAGACCAGAAAACGTCACCACAAATATAGCTGAAAGGAAAGTGAGCAGAAATATGAGCGGACCTAGCTGAAAGTGGTCAACGAAAGAGAATTTGAATTTGAAAATCTTGCCCAACAAAACTACTTTTGGTACCATGCCATGTGTTTCGGTACGTTTAGAAAACGGCGCACCAATGTGTACAATTTCGGCATTGTGTTGAACTTTATTTGAAGTGTTATGAAAAATCGCTAGTTTTTTCAAAAAGACTTTAACAATAAATGATTTGCTGAGTTCAGAGATATTGCTGCAGTACATTAAATCCACTACCTGGATGCCACCTCAACAGCTTTGTAAAAAACTAAGCGAAATAAATAAATAGTAAATACAGCAATGATATAATTGTCAAAGAAATTCAATTCTGATCAAAAGACGAGTGAAGCCAGTTTAAATGAATATATGTGTGTGGGAGTGTGTGTATGTGTTTAAAGAGGTTATTATTTTTTAAATTTAAAAAAAAAAAAATTTGATAATTTTGGATATATACGTAAACTGATTCTATGAGCTATTACCTAAAACATTTCGGCAGCCCTGCTAAAGACCAGAGCGGAAGTAGGAAGTAATTGTCAACATGGCGTCTGTGTCCGAGCCTCTAACTCTTGAAAAAGGTATGTTTGTTTATTTTAGTATTTTATAATTAACTTAGCTGGATTATTTTTAATTAATATATTATTCTGACATGGTAGTGCCTTTTTGTTGATGAACATGAGGAATTGTTTATTGGTTCCGATGAAAGATACACGACATCTCACCACAACCCAACGTCGACGACACGCACGTCCCTCACTGATCACACAACTGCGTCGTCGCTCTCTTAGTTTCTAACTTTCTTTAAAAAGCGCAGTCGAGTGGCCTCAATTACAATATAAGTAAAGTTAAGGTTCAGTCATCAAGTGAGAATGCAGCCAGACCAGACTGCATATGAGACTTTTTACGGTAGAGTAGAATATTTGGGAAGAAGGTGAGAGAAAGACCAAGAAAGTAGAAAGAGATGGATAAATAGGCGCTCCTTTGAATCATTCCCCAAAATGGCGGCATGCCACATTCTGGCCATAAAATATCCAAAAATATCCGAACGACGGTGTTCACGTATATCTAAAATACCGACTTTCTGCCAAGGAACAAATCGCGGCAAAACTAGGATTACTTGACAATCAATATCAACATTTGCACACGGTAATAGTAGCAGACAGTAAATACGGACCATTAACAACAATTTTGAGCGTTTTTGCAGATACTAGCAGACGATATTAGCGACCGTTGACCAATTTGGGGACATTACAGACGATGAAAGCCGATTAGCAATACTGTGTTCTTCCGATTGGAGGATTTAGCAGCGGTAGATGTCAGACTTGTCGGCATGCGCCAAACGCGATTAAACTCATCGGCGTATCCCCAGTGCGGATGGGGACTAAACTAGGTGCCTGGGACTCAACGAGTACAGTAATTGGAGGAAGTTCCAGGAGATGCGGTAGCTGCCGCTCGTGAGTCCCAGCCATCTAGTTTAGCCCCATCCGCACGTAGCGGCACGAGGGATACGCTCGGCGGTGAGGCACACTCGCAGAGGCAGGTCGGCAGGTAACGTATTGCCAAGACCCTGTCAGAGCATTTGTTTCGTTATATATTTTTAATAGAACTGACCTGCATTCGGATATTTTTGGATATTTTATTGCCAGAAATTGGCAAATTTAGCTCTCTTTCAAACGCCATCATATTAAAGCTGCCATTTTGGGGAATAATTCAAAGGAGAGCCGATAAATTAATGGTGTAGATAGCGATTCTGGTTATCCTCTCAGAGCACCTCTGAATAACGGCCACAAATTATGGCGGCCAAAAACTGAGGATTCAAACCTGGATCTCCTGCACGAGAGCCTAGTGTTCCTAATCTATTGTTTGGAATGAAACCTGAAGCCCTATTGCAGGGAGAACTAGAATAGACTCACTGCCTACCCACAAGCATGTCGTGGGAGTTGACTAATAGAGAGCTTCCTGTAAAATGGATGTGCACCACTCAGATTCTGGAACAAGTCCTGAATCTACAAACAACCTGAACTCTCCCCCATAGTGTACAGTTACAGCCAGTGAATGTGAAGAGATGTAGCAGTAGAGAATTGGTCTGTGTGGGATATACAAATAATCATTATTATTTAATAAAATAATTCTGCCACATTTTGTTTGTGAATCCCATAGTGAGCTAACCTGTACGTGTGTGTGTATGTAGCCTTACTAATATAATTTTTTTAACATCTGTTTTCAGATATCAGTCGTGCTATAGAACTCCTTGATGTTTTGCAAAGAAGTAAGTGTGTGCAGGTAACCTAGTTTAGTTTATGTTTGGTTATTGTAAAGCAACAGTTCAACATGTGGGTCATGACCCCTTTGGCGGTCAAACGACCCTTTCACAGGGGTCGTCTAAGACCATCCGAAAACGCAGATTCACATAAGAACTAAAACTGAATGCAATACAGTTGAATGGTTGTAGACCACAAGGCAGACCCAAAAAAGATGGGAGTGATAACATCCAGACAGACCTACAAACACTTGGTGTCATCAGCTGGAAAGAGAAGGCTAACCAGAAAGATGAGTGGAGGCGGGTGAAATCTGCAGCAGTAGACCTCAATGGCTTAGAATGCTGAAGAAGAAGACCGGCCTTTGAGGTTGGAAAACTTGTCAAGTCACACATTGGTTGAGACCTCCGAGCATGTTTTTGTGGTGTCGCTCGGGGGTAAAATAAATATGGGTCTCGCACTTGAGCTGTATAGTAGCAGTGACATATAGCAACATTTACATATAAACAAAGTAATTCACTTGTTCATTTAAGAAAAATAGTTAGTTATTAATTTCACTACTTCAGTGTGTTTTGTTTTGGCTTTTGTGTTTGAGTATCTGAGTTGGGAATAAAACAAATACTCACAAACAAGAATGCTGAGGTGTTGATAGCTGCAGGTTCTGTGAGAGTGCTCATCAAGACCTTAAGGAAAGTAGATATGAGAGGTAAAGGACATGTCAACAGCAAAGGTAGAATAGATAAAATAATTATTCTTATGTAGGAAAGTACTAGGCAAGAGAGAGGTGGTGAAAAATATAAAGACATATGGGGAATGCTTAAAGGGCACATCGGCGACTAGGTCGCCCATTGGCTCGCTGGTAGACTACCTCATCGCCGGTCGGAACAGCATTTGGGTCTGTCTTTTTTGATGGCATCAACACTGCAGGAGTTCTTTTCTGGGCTTATGGTGGAATGCTGTGCTAAACCATTTTATATGGCGCACATAACCTAGTCATAGTTATAACCTAAAGCTCCTGCTTCGGGGTGCTGGTTGAACATGATAATTGTTTTCTTTCAGCAAGCATCATCCTACCTAGCTTAAAGGGCTGGGTGATAAATTATAAAATCATGTTTAAAGTAGCATAAACTTCATCAAAATAGCTGATAATGGAGAGGTGAGTTATGATAATTAATGTCTGTACTATTTTGTAAAGAATAGGTCCACTGCTTTCCTATCATGCACGTCATAAAAGATATCTAATTAGGGGTTTTTCCTCCAAAGTCAAGCACATCTGACTGAGAGGCAAGGAGCCAACAGTCTGCATAAAAATAAGCAGATCTTTAAAATGGATTTCACAGTATTCAAGTTCTGTAACAAGACCCCAGGACTGGATAATGAGCCAAAACTTTCTGCTGGATTTCCTAGCCAGTAAATGCTAACAAGAAGAAAATGTCTGTACAAGATGAAACATTTGGTAGAAAAGATGATCTTCTTCTTGTTCTCGCATACACATCTGTTTTACGAATCCTGTTTATATGTATGCAGACTGTTAGTTCCTTGTCTCACAGATATATGCATTTTGACTTCGAAGGCAACACCCCTGTTTAGTTGCTTCCTATGACATGTTTGTTGGGGGTAATGGTTCTCTTCTTCGGTCTTTAAAATGGAATTCTGGAACCACATGAGGAAAAAGATCACTAGGACTAACTGTAAAAAGTTGTGTATGGTTGTTGCTGTTAAAATTGTTAAAATGTCTGTTGACTCTAGGTGGTGAGTTCCCAGCAGCAAAGCTGCAGGCTCTACAGAGGGTGTTGCAGAGTGATTTCCTGCATGCGGTCAGGGAGGTCTATGAGAACATTTACGAAACAGTGGACATCAGTGGCAGCGCTGATGTTCGGGCTAACGCCACGGCCAAGGTATGTCTTTACTCTTATTAGTGTTAGTTGTGAAACCTCTTCACAACTTTAATTAATGTATGTTTTCCGATGGTCTTAGGCGACCCTTGTGAAAGGTCATTCGACCCAAACAAAAAGGACGCAACCCACAGGGGCTAAGAACCGCTGCTGTAGATGCACACATCTTCAGAGCTCAGATCAATTGAAAATGTATGCACTGGATCTAGGAGTCTAATATTACAATTCCCTGTGTGGGGTTCTGGTGGAAATGAAAAAATACACCTAGTGCCATCCCACACCAAGCATGTCTTAAGAGTCAACTAAGGATGTTTGTTACTTTCTTAGTCGGAGCGCATCTGCTTGAGAGGCAAGGAACCAAAATTCTGCATATAATCAGGCCAGATCTGCAAAACATAAGTGCATGCAAAATGCAACTTCTGGATCAGTCTAGAGATGGACGAACAACCAGAAATTTCCATCAGTTTGCAGCTGGTGAACGTGAAGTAGTAACGAAAATAATTGTATGTTTGGGGGTTGCCACAACATGAGGAATTGTAGTAATGGGTCGCAGCATTAGGTTGTTTGAGAACCACTGATCTACGAGGATGAGGCTGGTGTAAAGATGTGCCCTACATTAAGAACTTCTTGTGAGTAGTTCTTATTGTGGTTTATTATGAAGCTATGGCAGCCACATATTGGCATGTTTAAAATTTTTTCAATGCTGATTGTAATCGTTGGCGTGGCAGGTGATAATTTGTGCGAACCTAAATGGCACTGCTTGATAACTGTATCATCTGTATAAATAAGTCCGGGAAATTAGGAATAAGATTTTTGCAGATTTTATTTTGGTTGGGGTGGAGGGTGTTTACTCGATATGGAATGTGTTGAAATGTCTGCCTGAATCTGTTGCAGGCAACAGTTGCAGCATTTGCTGCCAGTGAAGGTCATGCCCACCCACGAGTGGTGGAACTGCCCAAGACAGAGGAAGGTCTGGGGTTTAACGTGATGGGTGGCAAGGAACAGAATTCCCCGATCTACATCTCTCGTATCATACCTGGTGGTGTAGCAGACCGACATGGTGGCTTGAAGAGAGGAGACCAGCTGCTGTCGGTGAATGGAGTGGTATGTCGCTCAACTTAATTTGTTTTTAGACTGGCTTTTATTTAACAAGCATTTCTTGTTTTTTTTTTTTTTTTTTCTACCCTAGTCCTGCACAGTTAGTTATCTCCTGCCTTTTATCCACCATTAGAGCATAGGTTTAAGACTGGTCATCCTATCCTTTGCCGTTGCATACAGCTCACTCCATGTCCTTCCCCATTTTGATAACTTCACTGTCTTTTTGTAGGGGTGGGGGGGGGGGGGGTGTCTGCCTTTATTTCTGTGCTCCTATGGATTCCAGTGCAAAGACCTGCTAGTTATATTGTTCACAGGTTTTCTCTGTGTGTGTCCTACCCAGTTCCAGTGTGTTTTCTTCACCTCTTGGTCCACTAGAACTTGTTAAGTTCTGTCCTAAAACTCAGTTGGTGATTCTACCATGCTATTGAATGCTCTGTATTCTGTGCAGACACCAATTAACTACAATTATCTACTCATGGTTTTCAAATGTAATATTTTTGGCCACATGCGTCTGAGAGAAAGTTATGACCCTTGTGTGTACAGAGGTACTGCGTACCCAACTTTGAGCTTTATCAGGCTGTGTCCTAGTTTTACAGATCCCCATGCAAGACTTCTCCCAAAAATCCTCGCTGTGCGCTACTGATAATGGTCTATATCTGCTTAAACCGAGCTGGTGGGGAGCTGGTAGGTCTCAGAGAGATCCAGTGCCTAGAAATCCTCTACCACTCGTCAGCCCAAGTAGGACACAAAAGATCAAAATGTTCCACTACAAGTGTGAGCTCAATCACCTTGTCAGAGTGTAATGGCCATACAGCAAAGCTATGTCTGATGCATGCAATGGTAGGGGAAAAAAAAGAAGATTAGTTATGTAGGTGTAAAGAGTGGCCTGTCCAGGGCTTGGGAGAGGGTGGCAGGAATTCTGTGTGTTTTTTTTCCTGTCACGTGACCTTGGCATACAGACATTAGTTTTAATACTGGTAAATGTCAGTTTTAAAAAAGATTGTGCCACCTAAACTGTAGAGGTTGATTTTAATAAATCAAGTGCTAACTTTGAAAACACATCATGGGGAAGTCCCAACTCTCTTTTAGTCTCATGCCATTTGGAATGAATAGAATGACTCAAAGAAATTATTTGGCAAGATAATGAACTGGTCACTATATTTGTTATTACAACGCACTTGTTATCATTTTTTTCTATGCATAAGACGATGGGTTTCTGACATATTTTTTTGGGTAAGTTAAAATAGTGGGTCGTCTTATACATAGAATGTTTAACAATATTTTTTCTTGATTTTGGGCTAAAAAACTTAGAAGGTGGGGTATGCACAGAATAATATGTTGATCCACTTTCTGATGGAAATGTCTGCTATAGGTTAACATTTGTCATACTTTTTATTGATCCAGATCTGACTAGTTTTAATAAAACATTTTGAATTTATTTCACCATGAAGGGTACCATATAAAATCAGAGGTACAGATAACTTTCTTGTTGGTGGCAGATTCATTGGTTTTTTTCTTTTCACAGTCTGTAGAAGGGGAATACCATGAGAAAGCTGTGGAGCTCTTGAAAATTGCACATGGTGAGTTAAAATATGTTTACATTTGTGATTTTTTTTTTTTAGCAGATTGATATGTTGCTACCATCCTTTACTAGACCAGTGATCTCCAAGCTGGGAGGGAAGGGGCATGAAGCAGTTTTGAAATTGTTGTTTATTTGTACTTGTAATAGTACACATTTTTAGTTTTAACTGTCATGAAAACAAAACAGCATTGTCAGCTTGAGGTAGAGAGTGATCTCCGTTATTCCTTGTCCAGATAAAATATAGCAGCTATCAAAACAAAACAATTTCACAGAACAATTTCAACTATCACACTGGTATTTGGACAACAAATTACTAGTTGTTGGTGATTGTTTGATTTATATATTTATGTGAATGTTTTTCTCCAAGCTCCTGTGAACAGTGCTTGGAGGTTTTCTCGTTGTCCTCCTCTTTTTAATCACATTTTTTTAAATGTTGGGGGTGTGGATGTCAGGGCGTGAGAAGTCTTGTCTTATACTCGAAGGGGGCACCACCTGAAAAAGATAAGAGACCACTGCTCTAAACAAACCCAAAAGTGCTCACTCATCTGATCATTTCATTAAAATTACACCAAGTTCACCTGCGTGCCATTCGGGCTAGATCTGTATTTTATAGACAAATTGGCACTTAGTGGGTGAAGCGGTTACAGCTGGGAGCTCATGTCATTTTCTGAAGAAGAAAAAGACCTGATCAGTTGAGACCTGAACCCATGACTTTCTGATCCACAGGCAAGCATCTTGCCACTAGACCACAGCAGCTGCCACTCCATATAGGACAGAATGAATTATTACACAGTTTTCAGAGAGCTCTCTTATGTTCAGAAGTAATTTTCTAGTGAAACACAGGTTTTCCTCTTAGATGACTTAGGTTTATTGCCAACAAATGTTCTTTTCCTAGCTAATCTGCAAAAGAACTTGGCAGTGTTGTCTTTTTGCAGTGAGGCCGTCATATTTATGCCGTCAGGTCACTACTTTTTATTACAGCATTTTGTGGTACCTGTTCTTCATTTACTCATTGATCCTCTCTCTTGGTTCTGTCAGTCCGTAATTTGGTAGTAGTGTACAGTCTTAATCAACTGTCTGGTTTACCTCGACATATAATATCCATTGATTGCTGTTGATGTATCAAAGCTTGTCTGACCTTTATCTTCCTGTTGGTCTGTGTGGATGTTCTAGGCAATGAATGTGCAGATTATCTGACAGGCAAGGCAATAACCATGAGTGTTCTGGCACTAGACAGAAGTGATGTCATTAATGTCATGCGAGCTGTATATTGCAGAGAAGATCAGACAACATGGGGGGGGGGGGGGGGGGGGCAGCCTGGAGTAGCAAGAAATAAATATTTCACAAGGTGTCTGGTTAGTCAACACAGAACGGGCATGATCAGTTGTTTTGCTACTGAGGAGGAGACCAGAGCACCTATGGATCTGTCCTGCATGCTGCAATAAAAGTCCTCACTAATCCTGTCGAAGCTACTTATTCTTTTTCTGAGATTCCTTTGCTGTAGCAAATGTATACATGTGTACATCTCGTAATACAGACTACCAAAACTGTACTTCCCATTCTACAGGAATATTAATACTCGTGGCATTCTAGAGACATTAACAGATGTATATATCTCTCATTCTACATTCATATCAAAACTGTATCACTGCTATGCTACGTAAAGACTTTACCCCCTCTCAAGCTTCAAACATACACACCTATCAGTCTGCACAATTCACACATGCCATCTGTTTCAACTGGGAGTTCATTGGTTGCTTTCCTGATAAATTATGTGATTATGTTTCAGGAACTGTCAAACTGGTTGTACGATACACCCCTCGTGTTCTGGATGAGATGGAAGCACGGTTTGACAAACAGAGGGCTGCAAATCGTAGACCGGTTCCACAGTAAGAGCAGATCACTCCAAACCCAGTTATTAGACAGTAAGCTCTACCAGTTATCTTGTTTCTTTAAAAAAGTGCTTGTCTTTATTTATTATTTCCTGGTATTAACATTTTAAATCTAGTGGAGTAGAATTGTATCTACTAACAGAAAATTTAATCAATAAAGAATAACATAGAAACAAGGCATTAAAATTAATCCAATGACAGAAAATTTCTCTATAAATTGAGGGGGGAAACACAGTTAGACCAGAAGAGTCAAGATCTCCAATGTCAACCTAAACCAGAAACCATGAGATCTTGTGTCTTCAGCAGACCAGAAACCATGAGAGTCCGGATCTCATGTCTTCAGCAGACTGTTAACCATGAGAGTCATAATCTTGTGTCCTTAGCAGTCTAGAAATCAAGATCCCATGTCTTTAGCAAACAATAAACCATGAGAGTCAAGATCTCACGTCTTCAGTGGATCAGAAACCACAAGAGTCCAGCCCAGAAACCATGAGAATCAAGATCTCTAGTATGTGTGTCAGTCCTGGTACCCAGAGAATCAAGATCTCAAGTCTTTGGCAAACCATAAACCATGAGAGTCAAGATCTCGTATCTTCAGTGGATCAGAAACCATGAGAATCAAGATCTCTAGTATGTGTGTCAGTCCTGGTACCCAGAGAATCAAGATCTCTAGTATGTGTGTCAGTCCTGGTACCCAGAGAATCAAGATCTCTAGTATGTGTGTCAGTCCTGGTACCCAGAGAATCAAGATCTCTAGTATGTGTGTCAGTTCTGGTACCCAGAAAAGAATCAAGATATGTTTTAGACCAGGCATCCGGAAAGTCATAAACTCCAGGTGTCTTTTGTATATTTTATTGCTTAAAAGTCTTGTATTAATGTATGCTACACTTTCTTATTGCTTGCAGATGAACCAGTTCCAGCCACCAACAGTTCCATTGATGATTTAGCAGTTTTGTCCAGCCATTTTATTCATTTATTGGTGTTCAGCTAAGTGAGGAGGTGGTACATCATATCACAGTTCTAATTCATACAATTTTTTGTTAATGTCCTTCAAATACTATCTTAAATTCCAGTTTATGTATTTATCTTTGGTATTTGTGTCCGTCTGCCGCACTGAGTTATGTGACTTTACAAGAAAAAAAAAATACAAGAAATATATTTGACATCTGTAGAGAGTGTTATTGTCAGTTTTAAATTCACTTGAGACTTAACTTTTATTTGTGTGTATGTTCTTATGCCTCCAAATAGCATTTTAATTCCACCCCTTCGTTTAATTGTATTTTTTAAAGTCCAAAGTAATCATTCCACTTGGGTTCCTTGTTTTGAAATCTGTGTTATGTTTTCTCCAGCCTTTACAATCCATATAACTAACTATACAGATTATGTAAATATTGTTAGCCATTCAGTAGTCCAAAGGGTATATTTGTATGTGGCTTGAGTTCATCAATGTCTTATTTTTCTGATTTGTTTAATTATTTTTGTTTGGTGCCACATGTAAAGAGTTGAAATTAAAGTGATTTGTTGTTGTACCCGACTGAATTGCGTTGTGCTCTTGCATAAATGAGTTAGGGACTCTTCTACCTTTCGTCTCCAACAGTCATCTTCTTATAGTCCATGACTTGTGGTATTGGAAGTCATGTCTTCTACCCAATGCCTGTCGGCCTGTGAATAGACATGACTGATTTACGGAAGTTAATCATGGACAGTTTGGCGATTAGCAAAAGATTATCTGGAAGTGACGGAGATGTAGTTTAATAAATAAATAATGAGAATACCCTGGACAGATAAAAAAGACCAATGAAGGCATCTTGAAAGAAACTCATGAAACAAACTGATTACCCACATCAGAAAGAGACGATCTACATTCTTTGATCTTGTCGTGAGAAGAACACTCGAGTAAATCGTGATAGTGGGAAAAGAGGGAGACTGAAAGAGAAGATGCTGGACAGTTTGACCTGTGTCAGAACTGACTGTGCCCGTGTGTGTTCCGGGGCATCTTTGTGGGGAAAACAAAACAAAGATAGACCCACAGCCTCCCTGGCAAGCGTGTCATAGGAATCAACTAATTGTGAGGGATCTTCCTTGACGTTGGAACGCATCTGCCTGATCGACAAGGAACAACTAACTGCACACAAAACTCAGGCCCTGGCACAAAGCCAAAGTACAAAATAACCAATACAAAGACTTTCCACCAGAGCTTACAGCCAGCGAATGAAGAAGTGACTGAAAGTACATGTGACAGAAGATTGTGGATAAACATGACACCACCTGGCATGGAGTACAAAATGATGAAAAAGATATCATGTATGTTTGCAATGTACTCATCAACACTCGGTCAGTTTAGATGAAATCCTGTGTAGATTTGATTGTGGTCGGTTAGACTTTATAGCTACACATTTTAAAAGATTGGGGGGGGGGGGGAGGGGGAGGGAGGGGTTACACCAATCTTTCTTTGTTGTATTTTATGACATGTGTTGAAGTGTTGGATTTTTTTGGGCAAGGAACCCATATAAAATGGTTCATCACTGCACACCACTAAAAGCCCTGAAAAGGACTTCTGCAGTGTTGATGCAATTAAAAGAGAGACCCAAATACTGTCCTGAGACCGGCGACGAATTCATCTACTGGTGAGCCAATGTGTAACTATGTTGTTTACGCTAAAGGCATTACTTAAAACCTTTAATATGAACCTGACACTTGGGAGGCTGCAGCACAATAGCGGACTACATGGCGAACATCTTTTCAAAGAAGAGCAGCGCAGGCAGGCTAGAAAGACCTGTAAAATGGGCACTATTCCCTGCCCTTATTGTCATAGATACTTCTGGGCCTGTAAACGGCTTTTAAGTCACGTCCGAACTCTACAGAATTCAACAATAGTTTCATGAAGGATATAAGAAAGAGTGCTCCTTATCACTTGTGATAGACAATGGATATATATAGTAAGACACTACTCAATATCTTCCAGTTGTGATGATTTTCTTCTAATTCTGTTCTTAAAAAAAAAGCTGTTGGCACATTGTAATGTATTGTGGTCTACAGCTAGGTTGCAATATCCGCACCTTTTGGCCCAACACATCCTAAATCTAGCAAACCCTCATTAGTTGCCAACCATGACTTGTTAAGGAGCAGTGATTCTTTTCCCATCCCAGCTCCCCAAATGAGGCTCTAGAACCCACAGAGAACAGCTGCTTGATCAGCTCCCACACATAATGAGATCTGGACCACCGCCGTCTAGCAAGGTAACAACCTAACACTTTCCACTTATGGTGGCCATACACTCTTCTTGAGGGGCCAGACTAACAGTTGCTGAAGCTCCCTAACTTTCTGACAAGACAAGCACAAGATTCGATCGCTGGCCATCTATAACATGCTGGGTAAATGTGTTATGATCAAATGGAAGTTAAAAGCAGGAAAAACTTCCATACTGTTCACATTAAAGAAAAGAAAAAAAAAACAGATTGATAAATTTCAGTAAACATGTATATTATCGGATGAATTACTTATCCTAAATACAATTTATAGAAAACACTGGAAAATGTAACATCTTTCAAAGTAACAAAACATGTTGAGGTATCTCTTCTTGTACTGTAGGCAGTTGAAGAGTTGTGTTTTCCTTTCTCCTTAAGATCCATATTCGTTGCACCTCGATACAAGAATCTAGGGAGGAGGGGGAATTGAAAATATGTATTCATTAAATGTGTATAGTATTATTTGTCTTTGGCGTTGCAAAAGCGGCTCGCAGTGCTGAGTTCTATCCAAGTTGCGGGCATTGCGTTGGTTTCGACAGTCGCATCGAGAAACCTACTGTCCAGAAAGCAATGACAAACTACTGTAAAGTTGCCTAGAGAAACCACAACAGCGAAAGAGTGCTAGGGTTGGTTCTGCACCATAGTATTATTTTCCCTGTTCATTCTATGTTTGTGAATCTGTATGTCATTAACTTTGCGTGCTTGAAAATTCTGTCAGTCTCATTAACATTTTCAACGGATTTCCCAAGGGAGATTAGTGACCAAAATAGACTAGCTTGCAGTATTACCTCCCCTATTGGTTTCGGGGCGCCATTTTAGGGAGGAGAGAACGAGACACATAGCGTCTTAGCCAACAAGCATGTCGTAAAAGGCGACTATTTAGAGCGCTTCGTTCGCATCTCCTGGGAGGCGAGGAGTCAACAATCTGCATATGAATGAGCCAGAGCTGTAAAACAGACGTGCCTGCAAAGTTATAGAACCCAATCAAAGTCAAGAAAGGGACGAACAACCAGAACTTTCAGCTAGAGTTAACAGCTCCTCTTCCTGTTCTTCTTCCTTCTTCTTTTTCTTCTTTCTTTGTCTTCGTCTTCTTCTTCCTTCTTTGCCTTCGTCTTCTTCTTCTTTCTTTGCCTTCGTCTTCTTCTTCTTTCTTTGCCTTCGTTTTCTTTTTGCTCCTCCTCCTGCTCCAGTTAATTCATGGTTTTTGTTTGGGGGGGGGGGGGGGGGGGGGGGGGGGGTGTTGCAAAGGATCATCTGTGTGCTTTCCCATGTGTTGTATATGTTAGTCATCATTCGGTGTGTGTCCGAGTCAGTTTGTCTACCTATGTTTTCTACACATGTCCGAGTCAGTTTGTCTACCTATGTTTTCTACACATGTCCGAGTCAGTTTGTCTACCTATGTTTTCTACACATGTCCGAGTCAGTTTGTCTACCTATGTTTTCTACACGTGTCCGAGTCAGTTTGTCTACCTATGTTTTCTACACATGTCCGAGTCAGTTTGTCTACCTATGTTTTCTACACATGTCCGAGTCAGTTTGTCTACCTATGTTTTCTACACATGTCCGAGTCAGTTTGTCTACCTATGTTTTCTACACGTGTCCGAGTCAGTTTGTCTACCTATGTTTTTCTACACATGTCCGAGTCAGTTTGTCTACCTATGTTTTCTACACATGTCCGAGTCAGTTTGTCTACCTATGTTTTCTACACATGTCCGAGTCAGTTTGTCTACCTATGTTTTCTACACATGTCCGA